AGTGCACACCCAGCTCATTTCCAGTGTCCCTGGTGGGTAGCACCCAGGGTTGCCTTAAATGTGCATAATTCTGTGCAGTGCTGGTGTGAGTGTCCAGTGATGGCTCTAGAACAGGGGCTACCAAATTCTCCCAGTATGAGAAGCTTCACTTGTTGCTAGCTTCAGGTTTCTCTTTTTTTGCAATGTTAGTTAAAGGCAAGTGGCCGAAGGAAGCCAAGTTGGACACTCAACTTCATGGCAAGCCTTGCTGAAGGACTCACAGCGGGGCTGGCATATGCTCTGAGGCCCCCAGGAGACAAAGCAAAAGAGGAACATAGGAAGCTGCCTTGTCACTGAGTTAGACTATTGGGTCCATCTAGCTCAGTATTGTCTACACTGACCGGGCAGCAGCTCTCCAGGGTTTCATCTAGGACACAGCTTTCCAAACTTTTCTTGTTGGTGACACACTTTTTAGACATGAATCATTTCATGGCACAGTAATTCAGTTTTACTACCAAACCGGAGGTTAAACTAACCCTTTTCCAGCTCTTGGAGGAGTGTGGGGGAGCGTTCGTGCGACACACCTACACACTGCAGCCAACACACTAACGTGTCGTGACACAGTTTGGAAAGCTCTGATCTAGAGGGTCTCTCCTAGCCCTACCCGAAGGTGCCATTAGGGATTGAACCAGGGGCATTCTGCAGGCAAAACAGGTGCTCTACCCACTAAGCCACAACTCTTCCCCAGGTGGCTGGCTCTTATTCCTGTCATTATTTGCAACAGACCCACCTAGCATCCCTTGAAGCTGAGATCAAATACCCACACACCACACACACCCGTTGTGTCTGTTTATTACGCAGTTATACATTTCAGCTGCTCTGCTGGTTCTGATGTTCCTGTAGATTCACAAGCTTATTTAGCTGCATAAACAGACTACAATTCTATTTACCTCCTTTTGCAAATAATTCCCCGCACCCCCCCACAAAATCATACATAGTTCTTATGGACTAGCAGCCCAACACTTCCTCCAATTTCCCCAGCGTATCAAATTATACATAAACACATAAACAGGCAAATGGATAGAAATTATCTCTCCTTGCTGTTCAAAAGCGCCACAATCTTTTACAGAATGTCTCTGAAGTCCAGCCTGCTATCTCAGAAGGCCCAGTGGAGATGTTTGTAGTGGGCATAGCAACACCCTGCAGCAGTGGTTCACAACTGATGGTCTGCAGACCCCAGGGTGTCTGCGTAACCCACCCAGGGGGTCTGTGGCACATTCACATAACAAAAACTACCACAGAGATATCAAAATTTTCAAAAGTAGGGAGTCCATGGCTTGGCTTTTGAGAAATGGAGTGCACAGTACTTAGCTAATTGGGAACCACTGACACAGAGGAAATGCCGGCTGGCCTGGGTCTCTCTGAAGGGGAATGTGACTCCTGCAAAGAGAAGGAGGGGAGAAGAAAGGAAACAGCACCTTCTGCCCCCTAAAAAGCAAGGGGAGGCTTGGACTGGACAGGGTCCTCCTCACACGCATGAGCAATGGGGCATCTTAGAGGGGCTCCTTACCTACTCCCTGGCCCTGTAAACCTGGTTGTATCATGCCCACTCAACCCTATAGATGAAGCACGATCACAGCCCAAGCATCGCATCTTCCTAAGGAGGCCACAGACATCTCCCTGCCTACTCCCAATCCATCCAGGGCACCTTTGTTTTGTTTCCAAAGTGCAAAGTTCTCCCACACAAATTTAGTTGGCAGTCTATCTTGATTCCTAGATTCTTAGGGACATTTGGCTGCAGTATCCTTGCCTTCTGAGATACGAGTTGGGTTTTGGAGATGTTCCATAAAAGAAGTGCCTCACTGATGGATGAAGCCCATCTAGCAGCCAAATGCTTATAAAAACCTAGGAATCTAGACAGACTGCCTCTGGACCTAGAGGTTCCATAACAGCACCAGAGGAGAACTGCTAGGTCAGGCCAAGGGGCAATCTCATTCAGCACCCTCTTCTCACAGTGGCCAGGCAGACAGTATTCTACAATTGTGGGTTGTAACAAACTTGGCAACTGGGTCCAGTGTTGCCAGTGCACACATTAGTAAATTTCAAAGGGCAAAAAGGGGTGAAATTAACTCTCCCTTCACCCCCACCCCCCAATTAAGGCAGGCAAGAGTGAGTGCATTTGTTTCAATGCTGGTGGACAACATTGCATAAAGACTTATCACAATACACATCCCCCCTCCCCAGCATGCATACAAGTATGTGATTTATGAAAACAGGACCCTATTCTTTCCCCCGTTTTAAATAAGCATTCTATGGGTAAAAAAAAGATAGAAAAAAAGGTTGCAATGATGAACAAAAATAGCTTAGACTCTATAAGGTGCTTCAATCTCCTGTAATAAGTCAGTTCAGGGTGCAGGATGTTCTCCACCCACCTTAAAAAAAAGAAGGCATGGTATTTTTTAAGTGCAGAAAACATAATTCTTAAAATACACAGAATCACCCCCCAAAAAAGAAAACAAAAACCCAACCAGCTCCATGATGGAGAGATAGTGTCCTCAAAGTTGTTTCCCCAACTAGAGTCAAAATACTCAAGATCTTTCTTTGCTTCCAGTGGAAGAGAGCTTGAGACATGTCTCTATGAAAGAATATCCGAGCTGCAACTTCCAAGTGCCTCCAAGGAAGGGCCTTACTCTGCTTTCGCAGAAGCTGAAGGATATAAGAAACAATACTTTTTACTACCTGCTACACTTACGGATTGGGGCAATCAAATAGATGGGGACAGGGGGTACCTGGCTTTGCTGCAGTCCCCAAAAAAGGAGGGGCTACATCCTGTGAAGCCTGGCAGGAAGTGCAGGGTGCTGCAAGGGGTTGGACTCTACAGCTCTATGATTTTATCAGAAGGTGAGGAGGAGGAGTCTGTGTGGATTGGTCTGTGCCACAGTGAGTTTAAAGACTAAACTAGGGCAACTTTCACAAAACAGAACATATGCAAGCATAATTTTTTTTTAAAAAAATCACAGAATAATAATAATAACAACAACGCATAAACTGCATAATAAAAGTAAGGATTGAAGGCTAAGACATTGTCAATGCTTTTGGTATTTCTCAAGCCCCCCCCCCCCTTTTAAAAAACTGTAGCCGGTTGTAAATAAAGCAGAGCAAGTAAATGCTCAATTTCCCATCACCACCACCATTTCTAACCCCCCCCCCACTTTTTACATTGTATTCATTACAGGTATTTTGAATCAATATCTCTTCAAAACATAGTCAGGATCCAAAGATCCCTCAGGGGCTCTAGGGCAGAGATGGGCAGAGGTTGCCCTGCAGTCTTCAATGCCACCCAAAGCATCCTTCTGCATAGCGAGTCTTGTACAAATCTAGTTATAGCAACAAAATGCAAAGAATCAGAGGGGGCTGGAAAGTTCACTGTGCCCACTTCTGTAGGTTAGAGGCTACCACACCGGGTGCGTGAAGTTGTTGACTATATACATGTGAGATATATTCATTGCCACTTCCCACAACTTGGTTTGAGTCTCTTAAGATGTTGGGGAACTCTTGGCCACTTTTGAAGAACATGAAGCAGTTCTCTGGCATGCAGTCTTGCTCTGCATGACTGGATGCCCAGCTGACCTTTCCAAGAGATTTGAACCCACAGAAGGGGAAAAGGCTTAAAATGAGATATATGGTACCACCACAACTTACATGTTTAATTTGTGTGATTTCAACCTAAGCTGGCCAGCTGAAATTGTGCAAATTAAACGCATGAAAGGAAGAGAGCTCAAAAACTCTTTCTGTGCAGAATTTTCCCAGCACAGAAAGAGGTTTTAAGCTCTCTGCCTAGCTTACTGGGTTCTGGGAAGTTCTTGCATGGAGACTGGGATGCTTTCTCTCTAGACATCTTGCAAGATTTGCAAGAGCCTTCCAAAGCCTGGTGAGCAAAGCAGAGAGCTTAAAAGCTCTCTGCCTTGTTAAGGGGGTAAGACCTGTTCAGCATATCAGCTCCAGAAGGTAATCTTCCTCTCACAGGAGCAGCTTGAGCATACATTCTTATATATGCGCCATCTCCAGAATGCAACCCCTGTGCAAATTGTGAGTTACCTGTGCGCATGCGTCCAAACCATGCAAGTTCCCCATGGCTAACTCTATTGCAGGCAAACCACAAGTGAAACTGAGTCAACTTGAAAGAACGTGAGTCAACAAATGGAACTTCATGATGACACGTGTATCCTTCCTAAAGCTTTCTCAGAGGTTTCACTACTAGGCACAATGTGTGGGGCCCAGTGGGGCATCTGGGTGGCCACTGTGGGGCCAGGATACTGGGCTAGATGGGTCCATATTGGACTGAACCAAGAGGCTCTTCTGATGCTCTTGTGGACTCTCCAGGCACAGAGTCTATCTGTACTGCTAGATCCTTAAGGGCATTTGGCTACTCTGAGAACAGGAGACTGGACTAGGTGAGCCTGATCCAGCAGTCAGGCTCGTCTGATGTCTATTTCCAGTGCTTTGTCCATCACCTGTCCATTTCCCACTTTTTTGTTCCTAAGGACCACAAAGAGGTCCACATCCACGTGCTGCATTTGTAAGAAAAACAGCTTGATGGAAAGAGCAGAATGATTTTTTAACCAGCACTGCTGAACGTCATAGGAGGGGGTGTGTGTGTTGTTGTTTCTGCATCAAGTAACCATGGCCAAATTAAGGTGCTGCATTGTCACTTCTCAATGTTCTGTCATCTCTTGAAGCACCTGGCCAAGCCAACCCTTTTGCAGCATCCTCAAACCCCTACAATATGAAAACCCCTCAAGGTGCAAACAGAGTAAGATTTCTGAGGTGCTTCCTGCCCTCCCCTCCAAAAGCAGCAAAGTTTCTCAACAGTCTGCACAGTAAAAGAAAAGCCCATCTTCTAAACATATTTCAATAAAACTGCAGGTGACATCACTGAAAATAATCAAACCAAATCAAGCTTTGCAGAGCCACATTATTAAAATGACCATTGCCCAGAGTATTCCCATGGCTGCTGTTTGTTTTTTTTGAGGGAGGTAGGAGGAGTGGGATAATGGCTAACAATCATTTAAAAATGCATCACTGCAAAGTGCAACTTTACAGCCGTTGCTTCTGAAAGGTATGCAAGATCCTTCAAAGTCACAATTTGCCAGGCCATTGTTGAACAAGGGAGGCAGGTGAAACTGCTCATGGCAGTAGGAGCAAAGCCTTAAGCCATTTTTAGAATTAAAGACAAGCAAGTTATCACTACCTAAATAAAGATTGTGAGCTAGAGAATCACAATCCACATCCAAAAATCAAAGGAGTCAAACAATTTGTGATTATTTTCTTGTGATGCCAGGGATGAACAGAATAGGGTTGGGAGATAAAACCGATGGTTGAGAAACAGGATAATTGTGAGTGGCATTCTTAGGAGAACCAATGAGCTTTTAACACATACTCAGTTCAGCCATTCTAGGACATGACCTGGAACAATACCCCCCCCACACACACATATAATTCTTTCTGAAAAAATCAGAAGACAACAGCTCAGAATCTATTTGTGTCATCCTGTGAGATTATCTGGCCAGGGACTGCTCTAGGATAGCTTATTGAGACTGAGGGCCCTTCTTCCCACAACCAAGGAAAGTTTCTAAGGTTTGTTTGACTCCCCATTACTCCTTTAGATGAATGGCAGTCTCAACTACAGAAATCACAAAAATGAAAAGCGCATCCCCATCCCAATACATGTTCTCTTTACAATGTACCACAATGTTATTAAAAAAGATAATGAAAACACAAGTTCTTCCCCAGTGGAGTGGGTTAGGACCTTAGTTATGTGCAGTTTCTCAGGAACCCCAAAGAGGCATCAGAGTCCTTGTTTCACTTGGCTTGGCTTCTGAGGCCCTCACCCACCACGCTCTCCAAGGAAAAGTCTTCCAAGAGGGTCTTTAGGTGCCTCTGACTTTTGGGAAGCAGAGCTGGGAGGAGGGATGTTGGTGTAGGTGACAAAAGCAGCTGGATGGAGGCCCTCTGAGCACTGCAGAGCTGCCTTTTTTGAGGAGAGTGTCCTTCGTGATGGAGAAACAAAAACAAAAAATGCTCAAAACTGGAATGTGCTCACATTCATTGGGTGACTTTTTTTTAAAGTTTTGGCTCATGGTCCACAGAAAGAAAAGGAAGTAAGAAAAAAGGATTGCACTGTAAAACAGCCCTCCGTAACCTTCAGGGCACCAGGAGGGTTAAGCACTACCCTCCAGCTCCTCTTAATGCTTTGTGTCATTTTTCATGAGCACAAGAACAGCACTGTATGGATTTGGGCACTTTGTGTCAGGTAAATGCTGCTGTAAGGGCCTCAGAGTTAATTGGAGAGGCACACTGAACAGCAGCCGAATCTGAGGCAGTGGCTTGTGGCCACGTAGTATAGGAACGTGACGAGGACTGAGACTAGTTCACATGCAGAAATGTGGCCCTGGGGAATCTAACGGCACACACACTTTTTTTTTTTTTGCAGTTGTATGATTCCACTACATTCTCTCCTCCATATGATTTTGAGTCCAGTTCTCCCTTCCTGTCCTCATATATGCTATTGAAATCCTCCTGCATCTTAAGAGTGAGACTCGCAACATAATGGGGGAAAAGCACACTGCACAAAAAAGTTAAGAGTTGATCAAAAAACTGTTAAAAAAATAAAATCACCCACTCCCCAAAAATGAAGTTCTTCCCACTCCCAGGATTTGATTTGAGCAACCTGCTTGTCATCTTGGATTCTGGTTTTGTTTAAAAAGAGAGAATAAAACAGCAATGAAGGGAAGCCCCAAAACACAATGTGTGTGTGTGTGTTTTGCCAGACTTCCCATCGTGGTACAGGGCCACAGAAGCCATTGTGGGAGATGCAGAAGCCCAAGAATGTAAACAAGTGCCGCCTGGCACCATGCCACAACACCAGATTAAAAATATATATAAGAACAGGAAAGAGAAGTAGAGAAGGTGCAGGGTTTGCACGCACACACATATGCTGGGCTGTTTCAAAACAGGCCGAAAAAAGCTCCCACTTGAAAAGGGAATTCCCCCAGGTGGGGAGTCACTGAAATTGAAAAGAATCCCAGCAGGTTAGTTCTGTTTTCGTTATTACTGTATATCTTTGTAGCGTATACAGTATTCCAAGGCACTGCAGTGCAAAAATAACAGGCAAGTGAAGGCTGGACAAGGTCGGCAGCTTCCAGGGCCTTGGCCGCAAAGGGCTCCTCCCTTCCTGTGTCTCCCTCGCTCCATCACTGTGTGTGGAAGTAGATGGGCTTCACCTTCCCAGAGAGGATCTTGGGGACTTGCACCGAGATGATCTCTGCCATCATTTCTGGGTAATCCACACTGACCATGTGGGACTTGACTAGGAGGTCGAATGTAAACTGGTGCAGCTCTCGGGCAATCTAGGAAAGAGGAAAGAGAGAAGGTGATGTCACTTTATAGTGATGTGGGTTTTCGAGGGAGGAAGTATGCATGATGCCCTGAGTCCCTTCCAGTTCTTGGGTTCCTGTATCGGAGGTAGGTGGAAGGTATGAGAACAAGCTCAACAAACCAGCCCCTTTTGTCTAGGCAATAGCTGTGACTGAGTAGTTAAGCACCAAGATCAGCATCCCAAAAGGATGAGCTGGACTACAAGAGCTGTGACTAAGGGACGGGGCCTTTCAGGCCTGGGGGGGGGAGGGGAGGTTTTCCTCCACCCCCCTCACCTAGAACAAGATATGGTGTTTGGTGTGAGCTGGGCAGAAAGCAGGATGGAAGATGGAGACATGATTGATTTGAGCTGCATCTAAGACTGTGACTAATGGAGAAGCAAGAACATTTGGAGTGTTAATGCTGTGAGCCATTCCGGCCTGTGCTCAGGTTGTATATTTTTGCAACTGAAAACATATATCCTAAAGACACTACAGTCTCCACTGAACTTCATTCCAAGGAAACTGAACCCTTGGCAAGCACCTGCAACCTCTGGAATCTCTCACCACTTGGAGATTGGAGTGGCATGTAACAATATTATACATTGGTACCATTTCTGCATAGACAAACAAGACATGCAGGCACCTTCTCCTTTTCTTAGGAATAACCACCAGGTAGTACTTCCTAGGTGGTACTGAGGCACCCTGGGAGCAACTTTGACTACGGCAGGCTGGAATCTAGGTGTGTTTTTTTTTGTTATTGGCTCCTGTGAGAACAGGATGCTGGGCTGGGTGGGCCACTGGCCTAATCCAACAGGGCTCTTACATTCTGGTGTGCATGCACACAGAAAGGTGCCTTATGGTGAGACAGCCCATCTGGTATCTTTACACTGACTAGCTGTGGCTTTCCAGGGTTTCAAGCAGGGAGTTTCTCTCTGGAGCTCTACCTGGGAGATGCTGGAGACTGACCCTCTGCAGTAAAAAGCGGGTGCTGTCACTGAGCTGTTAAGTGGGATGCATCTGTCAGTTCTGATTTTTCTCTGTTCCTCACTTTCCCAACCTTAAGTTCAGTCTGCCCCACTTCTGCATCAGTCTGCTTTTTTTTTAAGCTTATGCCAAAATAATTGTACACAAATTCTCATGCACGCTTCTCCTAATATTCTTACGCAATGTGGCCTAATGCGTTTATTTATTCTTCTTTGATGCATATTTTGGTGTGCTATTTCAAACATGTATTTTATATGCCTTCCATCAGCTTCGGCTGGTGGCCCAGCTACGCCCTTATCTGGATGAGGTTAGCCTAACTACTGTGGTCTATGCTCTGGTAACCTCAAGGTTAGATTACTGCAATGCATTATACGTAGGGCTGCTTCTGGAAACTTCAGCTAGTGCAAAATTCAGCAGCCAGGTTGCTCACTGGGGAAAGAGACTTTGAGCATATTGCATTGATCCTGGTCTGACTGCACTGGCTACCAATTAGTTTCCAGGCCTAATTCAAAGTTCAGTTTTTGATCTATAAAGCCTTAAATAACTCAGGACCGCAATACCTCAAGGGCCACCTCTTTCCATATGAACCTACCCTGATCCTGATATAATCTTTTGAGGCCCTTCTTTGTGTGCCTCCTCCACAAGAGGTCTGGAGGGTAGCGACACGAGACCGGGCCTTTTCTGCAGTGGCTCCCCATTTGTGGAATGCTCTCCCAGGGATGTTTGCCTGATGCCTTCATTATACACTTTTAGGCACCAGACAAAAACAGGTATTTGGTTGACTGGCATTCAATGCCTTTTAAAATGTGTTGGGGGTGTGTTACTGGATTGTTCTTGTTTTTATTTTGATTATGCATTTTTTGTTTTTAATGTTGTGATTTTATCCTGTGAACCATACTGAGACCTGTGGGTATAAGGCGGTATACAAATTTAATAAATAATAAAATAATAAAAATAACAAATACTTTGACATTGGCAGCCTGGGGGTTAAGGAATGTTTCCCTGCATGTGTACTAGATCTGAAATAAAATAATAATAATAATAATAATAATAATAATAATAATAATAATAATAATAGTGTTGTTTATACCCTGCACATTCTGTGTGGCATCCAGCAAGATATAAAAAATATTAAAATGCCAGACATTAAAAACTTCCCTTCAGATGTTTTCTAAAAGTTGTGTAATTCTTTATCTCTCTCACATCTGATGGGAGGGTGTTCCACAAGGAGGGTGCCACTGCCAAGAAGAACCTCTGCCTGGTTCCTTGTAATTTTACATTTTGCAGTGAGGGAACTGCTAGAAGACCCTCGGAGCTGGACCTCAGTGTCTGGACTGAATGATGGAGGTGGAGACGATCCTTCAGGTATACTGGGCTGAGGCCATTTAGGGCTTTAAAGTCAGCCTCCCACAAACATCTTTCTCTTTGATGGCACAGTTCTCTCTTGGAGGAAATGACTGTGAGGTCACAGTGACTTTCTGCAGATTTGCTTCCAGTGCTTGTTTTTACAGGTTTGTTGGTGTTTTGTTTTCCTCTCCCTGCACTCCCCCACCCCACAAGTTCAACAGCAGATTCTGTGGAGTTTTGATCAAAAGATTAACAAAAGATCTTGCCATGTGTGTGGCTAACCCTCTTTCTCTTCCCTTCTCCTCTTACTTACAGGCTGCACAGAGTCTAGGAGCTTGGTGAGCTGGTAGAAACGCCGGGAGCAGGAGGTAGGGTTCTTTCTCTTGCAAGCAATGATGCGATCAAGTTCCTTGATGTAGTTCATCCGAAGTTCATCAAAGAACTTCTGGTTCTTCAGCCCGTCCACTGGAACTGGTGCATGTAGAAAGAGAGGAACAATTGTCAGTGTACAGTATGGTTGTGCCTTGTGTGCATGTTACTTTCCAAGACAGCGCTTATTTGCAAAACTGTGCCCACTTGAACCACCTGCTTGGAACCACCCCGTGAGAGTATTTTTACCTTTTTGGAGTTGTGTGCCAAGTGCGCCTGGCCCCTCTCCCAGCAAGGCAGAGAGCTTTTAAGTTCTCCACCTTGCTTACCAGGCTCTGGGAGGCTCTGATATAATCTTGCAGGTAAGCCTGAGTTCCGGCAAGATCTTGTGAGAGCATCCCAGAGCTGAGTAAGTAAGTATTGAGAGCTTAAAATCACAGAACCAGGTGCAAAAGGAGCTTTTAAGCTCTCAAAGCTCTCTACCTTGTATGCATTTAATTTGCGGGATTTCAACCATCTGGCTTTCAAAACCACACATGCTTGAAATTGCATAAGTTAATCACATGCAAGATGGGATGGAATTTTGGTGCATAATGATGCTGGTGGTAATAATAGTGGTTGCAGTAGTAAGAGAAAGGATTTTGTCAGACAGAGTGGTTGTCAGAATAAAATGATGAAGGAGGTTTAATCACACCACCTTAAATTATTGAGAATCAGCGTGGTGTGGTGGTTGGAGTGTTGGACTAGGACTAGGAAGAGACCAGGGTTCAAATCCCTACTCAGTAGTGAAGTTTACTAGGTGACCTTGGGGGCCTGTCACTGCCTCTCAGTTTAACCTACCCCACAGGATTGTTGTGGGGATTAAATGAGGAGGTGGACAGTCATGTGCACCACCATGAACTCCCTGGAGAAGAAGGTGGGAAATAAATGCAATAAATAAGTAACAATTAATAAAATAATAGTTGATTAAAATACTCTGTGTGTGCAGTATAGCAGTCTTCTGCTATGTATCTCTGGCCATCTATCAGGGATAGGGCTAGATGACCCTTGGGAGGTCCCTTGCAACTCTACAATTCTTTTATTCTTTTTTGAAAGAAAGGGAGAAGGAAATAAAAAGGCCCCCATGAAAAAAATGTGTCTTACTAATACTGAAGAGGAGCAGAGCTTTCATGCAGAGGAATTCTTGGGGAGTGATTTGAAGCCATCCAAACTCTTGGGAGAGATGCCGCATCCTGACGCACTGACTGTACATTCTGGATTTGTGCATCCGGTACCTGGGAGGAGGAGGAGGAGATAATTAGCAAATGCCAGCAGGAAACTGAAAAGAGAATCAGTGATCAATTAGGCAAATGGATCTTTCTTGCTTGTTGGAAGATTCAGGAAGGATAAAAAGAAAGGACTTCTTCACACAGCACATAGTTAAACTGTGTAACTTGCTCCCTCATGAGGCAGTGATGGCCACCAACTTGTATGGCTTTAAAAGAGGATTACAGAAATTCATAAAGGCTGTGCTCTGCCTCCACAGTCAGAGGCTGGACTGCTTTTGAATCCTAGATGCTGGGAACCACAGAAGGGGAAACAGCGCTTGTGCTCAAATCCTGCTTGGTAGTTTCCTACAATGGGCATATAGTGTCAACTGTAAGAATAGGATGCTAGATTAGATGAGCCACTGGCCTGATCTAGCAGGCTCTTCTTATGTTCTTAAAATAAAGATTGCACCCCCAGCCTCCACCACACTGGCTGGAAATCTATCTCTGCTGCAGTCTTAAGAGCAACCTGTCCTGGAATCAAGGAACGAGAACATTGCTAAACAGGAGGATAGAGGGAAGTTATTCTAAGGAGCTCATGACCTTCTTGATGCCTTGGGGAAAACATCACTCCCAAGAATTTGCAATCATTAAAGAATGCAATGCAATTATTTGGTGTGCAAGCCATCAGAACAGGGCACATTTCTTGATTACTTCCATCAGCACAAACTTTTGATCCTTCTCAATGACCCAAGAAGACCTGCAAAGCCCTGTCTGGGTCTGCCTTCTGGTTGTTGTTGCAAACACTAGCTGATATCAAGGAAGGGAATGGGCAAGGGTTGGTTAATGCTGTTCTGCTACCATTCTGCATCAATAAATTAATATTTAAACTGCAGATCCCACTGTGGTGCTGCTGGCAGCAAGGGGCTTTCCTTGTTCAGTTTATCCCTGCCGGTTTAATTGCTAAATGAGCTGTATGTGTATTTTCTGCATAATTTGAGTAGGAAGTCAAAGGATGGAGGGCCCAAAAGTTATTGATACACACTTGTAGTCAGACACAAGGATTTGAGATCAGCAGTTCCTAAACATCTTGGGGTGGGGGCACTGCCTGGTTCTGTGAATGCACCTCCGGGGGCCCCTACCCTACCTTACTTTACCCTACCCAATGAAAAGCATTTACTCAGAACAGTGGTTTGCACAACCCTCAAAAGTAGATAATAACACAAAGATTCAAAACAGTGACATGAATAGCACATTTATTCAAAAAATAAATATATGTAAAAATGAATATGTACTCTGATCTAATCATATAGTATATATATCTTGCTTGTTTCCTATACTCTGTGCATTAGCACAGGGACAACTGAAATCATGAGTCATTTCCTCCAGCTGCTTCCTTCTTGTAGTTTCTTGCTTTTAACAGGAACGCTTGTGCTGATGGAATGATCAGAAGAGTGGGGTCTCCAATTCCTCCCACACTGTTTCAATTATTTATTATTTATTATCATAAAATATATATAACTGTGGTTTACAACAATCTAAAAGCATAAAACCATACAGTAAAATAATAAAAAGTTAAAAGTAAATTAAAACCAAAAAGAAATTAAAACAAGCATAAATAATCTATTGTGTGAGATGTGCTCTTAATTGCCTGTTTAGGCCTGGCAGAATAGAAAAATGTTCAGCAGGCATTTAAAAGTTGAAATCATAAGGCCTCTGTTTAATCTCTAACAGCAGAGTATACCAGAATACTGGGCTGATGACACTAAAGGCTCAGTTTCTTGTCATTGCCAAATGAGCTTTGCCAACTTGGGAAATGACCAATGGCGCTCCTGCAATGATCTCTGTGATTGAGTTGTGATATTATAACAGTCCCTGAGGTTCCCTAAGTTGTTCAGGGGGGTGTTAAATCAATACAAGGACCTTGAACCTGGCTTGGTAGAAGACGGGCAGCCAGTGCAGCTGTTTTAAAAATGGTGTCACATGCTCTCAGCATGAAGCTCCTGTCAGCAATCTGGCTGCAGCATTCTGCCCCAGCTGGAGCTTCCGAACCAGACCCATGGGCAGTCCCACTTGGAGCACATTGCAATGGTCCAGCCTCGAGGTTACAAACGCATGGACTTCAGCTGTACTGTGTAAACCAGAGAAAACTGGCAAAAGGCCCTCCTAGTCACAAAGAACACCTGAACCTCTAGTGACAGAGATGTATGCAGCTGTACCCCCAAACTACACACTTGCTCCTTCAGATAGAGGGCAACCCCATGCTGAGAAGTCTACTGGGCTGGGGTATTGTTTTAGGTTTCTTTGTTGGGGGAGGGGTTTGTTTTTATTTTATCTTTATTTCAGATGTTATTATTTATGTAGGAATTGTTTCGATTTGTATTCTTTTTGATGCTTTTTATTGTTTAAGACTACTTTTGCTATGCTTGTAATTATGTGTTTTTTTTCATGTTGTAAGCTGCGTTGAGCGCGGTTTTAACTGTGCGAAGGTGGCATAAATAAAGTTATGTACGCAGGTATGTATCACTAATCCAAAAAAAGAATCTTGTGTTTCAGAGAAGGTAGCAGAAGCAGACTTCTGGGAAAAGTACTCACCACTCTCAGTATTTGGTTGCAGGGAGAAGTAAAGATTTATGGTCTCCTAAATCAATTGCTTGGACATTATTCACACAGGATTGGTGCCACAGTCCGTACACAGTCAGCTATGCTGTTTATAAGGTGTAACCCACTTTTATGAGTGGCTTTGCACAAGCATCATTCTATCTCTCAAAGGGCTCCATGTACTGTCCTAGGACTGCTCATGAGATGACAGATGAAGGGACACGGTCTGCTGGAAGATTCCACAACGGAATATTCCAAGCATGCAGATCCCAAAGATGGAACTGGGGGTGGGGGTGGGGCTGCAATGGTCGAGGCGAGTGAGCATGAGAGACGGAGTCGCAAAAATCATAGAACTGGAAGGGACCTCAAGGTTCTAGTCCAATTACACACAGGAATCACAACTAAAGCATCCCTGACAGATGGCAGCCTAACCCCTACTTAAAAACCTCCAATGAAGGAATTAATGTCATGTTGCTCAGAAACATCCCTGGAGACCCAGAACAAGGCCTGCTCCCTGTACCCCGCCACCAATTAAGTGTAATAAAAATGCTATTTTTAGTTTGGTTCATTAATGCATCCTGATGGGTTTGGTCAACTTTTATTAATTTATCATTTTCTTTATTAAATTTCCATTCTACCCTACACCATAGATCTTAAGGCAATTCACAACATAAAACCATCAGGTCTTTGCTGGTTTTGTAATGGGATCTCAGGTGGCCTCACCTCAAAGAGGATATTGTAGAGCTGAAAAAAGGTTCAGAAGAGGGCAACCAAAATGATGAAGTGGATGAAGTGGCTCCCTTGTGAGGAAAGGTCGCAGTGTTTGGGACTTTTTAGTTTAGGGAAAAGGCAAGTAAGAGGCAGCATGATAGAAGTTTATAAAATGATGCATGACATGGAGGAAGTGGGGTAGGGAAAAGTTTTCCTCACTCCCTCATAGCACTTACTCATTGAAGACCAAGTCTGGGGCGAAGTAGAGCATCCGAGAGTTCACGTTGGTGAATGATCTCCATCCCATTGCAAAAATCATCAGGCCCATCCAGGAATACTGAATGATCGCCATTTGGTCATCCACATGCAAGTTGCGGAACCCTGTGGAAGAAAAGAGGCACACCTGAGAAATGCTGTCAGGCTGGATGCAAAGCTTGCTACTATTCTTTCTTAAGAAAGCACTGTCAGCATCTCCAGATGAGAGTAACTTGTCAATGCTGCTAATAATTTAAACTCCAGCAGCCCATTTGTAAGATTATATTTCGATACATACAGATGTGCACATGCATACTGTCATGAAGTAATGATCCTGTGAGAAAGTATCGTTTGGTGGGACCCCTCAGGCAGGTGGTAACAATTAGTCCCAAAAGTGGGAGCATATGATGGGGTTGGCTGGTTGCCAGCATTCCCCAGCCCCTACAAATATTCTAGTTCACCTGCTGAGGGAGGGAGAGAACATGCTGTGTTTTAGACTTGCTGCTTGATTTCCTGTATCTGGTGCCAGAGAAGAAGCCAATAAAGCCTGGTAATTAGTTTGGTGCCTTCGTGTGATTGGTTAGTAACTTGGGGGGAGGACTCAGGAAAACCACTCCCTCCTTGACATGGTGTCATAGCGGAGGACTCCAACAGGAGTTTTGGAGCTTCAGCACCTTGAGTGTGAATGGCAAGTGACTGTTTAGATGGCGGAAAGTGTTCATCAGTTGCAGGGAAAATGGCAGAAAAGTGTGCTTGCCTGTTTGGTGAGAAGTGGGAAAGGAGCCAGCTAGATAATGGACGTGATGGGTGGAGACGTAAAGAAGGAATATGGTGGGGTGTCGAGACCTAGAGCGGTTCAGAGCACAGCTGTCAACATTTCTCTTTTTTTAAGGGAAATTCCCTTATTCTGAATAGAATTCCTCGCAAGAAAAGGGAAAAGTTGACAGCTATGGTTTGGAGTGAGAGAAACTACTCTCCAGAAAGATATTTCGGGGGTGGGGCGGTAATTGTGTTTATTGGGACAAGTGTATGTTTCCCCCATATACTGAAGGACAGGATTTAGTCGCATATTTTGCACTCTTTGAAGCTACATGTGAAGACTTTGTTCCTGTGAGCCACTGGATGAGAATTCTGCGCTCCTTGTTAACTGGTAAATTGGCAGATGTAATGGGAAAGCTGTCACCATTCAGTTTTAATAACTATGATAATTTTAAAACTTTAGCTTTGCAACAATTTGCTGTGTCAGCGAAGACCTACTGTCAAGCTTTTTCAAAGTGGATAAGGGTGGGACGCAAATTTATATTCTTGTTGCTGTGAATACACTGACTTGGACATGGCACATTGGCTCGGGGCTGCGGGAGTAAGTACTTTTAATGATTTGAAATAACTACGGTAGTACTTTCAGAACAATTTTATTGTGTACTGCCTGAAAATCTTTGAACCCTAAAACTGCCAAAGATGCTGTGGTACTGGTGAAAAACATGAAACTGAATCACCAGCAAAGTTCTGGAAAGTCAACTTACGAAGGGGTGGAGTGGGAAAACAGTGACTTTGATAATAACAGGAAAACCCCTAGGCGGGAAAGTTTCAGAGTTTCGCCTCAGAGTGGCCTGTGTTTCTTTTGCAAACAGCCAGGGCAGCTTAAGAAAGACTGTAGCTTGCTACAAGACAGAGAATGGTGGACAGGTTGCCTCTCGAGAACAGCACAAGTGCATGTGGTGCAGTCTGAGGAAGCTCTGTGGGAGGAGGGAGAGAGACCAAGTGAACAATCTATAGCGGCACCTCCCGCTCACCAGAATAAGGATTTGTTTTTAGTTATGTAGCATGAGGCTTTATATGCAATGTTTAATTTTTTTGGTAAATGAATTCCATTAATCCATTCAATGTCATGCTCTTCCAGAGGTTTCTGTAACATTATTTGGTGCAGTTTTTCTAACGAGAAGATATGATCACAGATGCTTGTTTTTGCAGTTCTCAAAAGTGTAATTTTGTGTCTGCAGAGATAACATGCCTTTTCTTTACAGGAAAAATGTTATAAAATAAACATACAGAGTTGAGGGAAAAACCTTAATCCCATTGTTCTTTTGCAAATTTATATACACCGAATCAACCTCTTACCTCTTAAATGCTAAGTTCCAAGAGGTTCAATGAATAGATTGTTTGGAGTGGAATAGATCTGCACAAGTAGCTAAGTGTGAAGCAGTGAAAATGAAAGTGCAAGCTTGTGAGCAGAATACTCCACAAGTCTTGGGATATTTGTGTAATAATTGTGCAAGTCAGTTGCATGTCTGTGCAACTCAGACTTGAGGCAAGTGCTGACGGCACTTCAGGGCTGGCAACCTCTTCCCAATCCCACTGAGTTCCAACAACTGCACTAACACTTTACAGAATAGGCACCTGAATGTAGAAGCAAATCCAAAGGGGGGGTGGTGGTGGTGGAAATAGTAACTGGGCTGTAAGTCCTTGGCAAGACTTTGAAGTGCTTGCCAGACAACTAATAAGAGTTCACTGGTTCCAGCCCTTCTTCCCAGGGCTTGTTTGACATTGTCCAAACAATAAAGTCTCTACCTGGAACTTCAGTCCTGCAGCAGGAACCCCTGAAGTTCTTCGTTTCTACCAGCCTGTTTCTCTTCAGTCGGTTTTTTCTGCAAGCCTGTTCCAGCCTAGGCCTACCAACTGTATCTCTCTCCACCCCCTCTAGAAAAAGGAAAGCCAGCCTCTCCAAAGCCAGGGCTGCTGAAAGACATAGCCCCTCTGGGATTCCATTACAGTGGTACCTTGGGTTAAGTACTTAATTCGTTCCGGAGGTCCGTACTTAACCTGAAACTGTTCTTAACCTGAAGCACCACTTTAGCTAATGGGCGTGCTGCTGCTGTGCCGCCGGAGCACGATTTCTCTTCTCATCCTGAAGCAAAGTTCTTAACCTGACGCACTATTTCTGGGTTAGCGGAGTCTGTAACCTGAAGCGTATGTAACCCGAGGTACCACTGTACATTTGTGTGTATAACCTGAGATTTATCACAATATTCTCTCCCTGGAGGAGAAAACCTATAATGCATGCTAAAACTCAGTCTAAGTTTTTTTTTTAATTGTTTAACCACATCAGTTAACAAACATGGATACATATGCTATAATGTTATTGTTTTAGTTAAATAAATTGTTTAAATTGTTATTAAGGAAATTCTTATTTTTCTCCTTCCAATAAAGTACAGCAGAAAAGTTGTCCAAATATAAACAGTTAAGTTATTAAACCTCACAATAATTTCATAATTATCGGTCTATGTATTTCTAATAGTATAACAAAATCAGTAATTTTTGATATAACTGTAGAAACTACTCCGAAAATTTATAATTCCAAAAATAAAACCTTCATCTGGTTGTAAATATTAAGATTATACCAGCAAGAATGAGTCTTTCTGCAAAAAAGTGATTTAAATCATGTCTTGTTGACTAGTGATTTAAATTGTGATTTAAATCGATTTGATTTAAATCAAACCCACCCTGCCGGGTGAGGGAGAAAACATGCCGTGTTTTAGACTAGCTGTTTGATGTCCTGTAGCTGGTGCCAGAGAAGAAGCCAATAAAGCCTGGTAACCCGTTCGGTGCCTGCGTGTTACTGATGAGTAGCTTGGAGGGAGGCCTTGGGAAAGTGACCCCCTCCTTGACACATACATACATATAGGGTTGGCTCATGACATTTTGGCACCTGAGACAAACCACAATATGGTGCCCCTCCCTGCCAGGGAAAACGGGATCAGTGAAGATCTACATTGGGAACAAAGTGGGGAGAAATCAAATCAACCATACACAATGGTTGAAGTAGGAATCAAAGGCCACTGTGTGCATATGAGCCAACTCTTAGGGGCTGTGGTACCTTCAGTTCTCCCAATAAAATATTTGAGGGGGCCGGGCCCTCCAAAGTTAATGGGCAATGCCATTCAAATGGTATGCATGCATTGCATCTTGTGACTGATTATGTTCAAGTTGACACTCCTGGTTGTGTGTGGTGGGAAGGGGCCTGCTCTGAATCATGCCAGGCAGGTGCAGAGCACAAAAGACCCTAGAGGGCAGTCCCCACCATTTCTTCCCTAGGGTTGGAAGGAGAAGACTAGCAGTGCCTCCTATTCACCAAAAGGCAGCTCAGAGGCGGCTGCTGTCAAGGAGGAGGCAGATCTTGCCTCCAAGGAACATGGCACAGTCGTTGCTGCTACCTCAGCAGCAGGCAATGCATTCCTTACAGGCAACACCTGCTGCTGCTGTAGATCCTGCTGTCTGAGGTGGTTGCCTCATGTGTGGGCCAGTCCTATATGCATGTATACATAGATTCATATAGGTAATCTAGTAGGAGAGAAAGAATTCAGAGGAAGCATAGCAGGCTAAGCAGCTTGAAGCGCATAGTTCTGTTAGTTGTGTCTACTATTATTAGTATTACACATGTTAATTTTCTATTTATATTGCAGAATCCAGCAAGGTGCACAATACACATAATAGACTATTTTGAGCAGATTTCTCCAGACTTCAACATATGCGTGAATCTTATTCAACACATTGAGTAGGCCACCTTATGTCAAGAATCCTTCAATATGTCCTGGCTAAGCAAGCTGCAAACTTTGCTTTGCTTTGCTCAAGTGGAAAGGCGGCTGAGGATTATGCCATTTGACGTTTACCTAGACTGAAATAAGTCACATGCACATCCAAAGCTCAAAAGCCTACACACACACACACACACACACACACACACACACACAGCATAATTTCACTACCTATTGCCTTAGTAGTTGTAGCTCTCCTCATTCTAGATTTAAACTTCTGTCAACTCTTTAGCCAACTTTCTTTATATGCACATTGAAGTATTTTATTTCATAACTTAAGCTGCTCAATTTAAGCACCTGCAGTTGAGATTCCTGCATTGCACAGGGTTGGATTAAATGACCCTCGGGGTCCCTTCCAACTCTACAATTCTAAGCTTCAATGTACATTTGGAACAGTGGTTCCCAAAGTGGGTGGTAGCGCCCCCAGAGGAGTGGAATTAGTGTCCCCACTAAGAAGTAACGGTGCAGCAGCAGAGCTCTGGAGGTAAACCCCTCTGAGCATGCTGATCTTGTACAGTGGTACCTTGGGTTAAT